TATGCACAAATGAATATGATCATACTTTTTTAGATATTGAGGTACACCCTCTTGAAATTGTATTGATCCTTTTTTGTTGGATTGTGAATGCAATTTCGATTGATAAGTACAAACATAACTCTTATTATTAATTTTAAATATAGATTTAGAAATATAGCCACCCGAGACTTTATCGAAAGTTCCTTCGAGTTATGTTCAAATCCACCTCAGAATCTCTTGAGCAGTGATCAAACCCCCTTTTTGTGTGGTTAAAATTAAGCAAAAGAAGAATGGGCTTAAAGTTTATGAGAAATGATATTCGCACACAATTTCTCTCACAATCAACACTTCTGTTTATTTATGACTTTGAGATCGAATAAAACAAAACAGAATCAATGGAGATAAATAAACATAAGCGTCCAGAATGAGAAAAAGAATGTCGAGAAATTATTTCCAATACCCCTTGGTCCATGCATTTATTGTCTCATCATGACTATGGGAACTATGGATTGGTTAGGCAAACCAGAGAGCTATATGAATGCCGACACTGATAAAAATTCAATCATAACTTGCATATCCATGTTTTTGCGTATCTTCTCATCTTTCAAAGGAAATATACATGATATAAAGCCAGTCACAATCATCGATCAGAAGAGATCGTGAGGTGGACCAGTTCATGGCTTTATCCATAGAGGATTTGGTCGTTTTGTTCGGCCATAGAATTCAAGGCTTACCAGCTTGAATCATGGAAGTTCATGCCAATCAGCAGTGACATATATTGAAGAAGCTAGCAACTTTGCATTTATATATGGTGGGAGCTTAGCTATGATTCAATTTATGAACACAGATAATTATTTGAGGACACAATAAGTCAAAATACATTATTTGTGTTATCCTGTTGCAGTATCTACATCTAAGAAAATCTTATGAAATTGGATTTTTGTCAATTCTGTCTTACTCGTTTATATTACACAAATTTAAGATTACAAGTTCACGGATGTGACCTAACACCCGAAAAGTGTTACAAATTCATTTTTACTTCTACTCACTCGCACACCCTTATGCTTACAATACACGAAAAAGAAAAGGTCGAGAAAATACAAGGAGAGGATCTGGATCCCAAATTGCATTGATGTCCTAACCCCCCCTGCAAAAACCAAAATATCCATTGCTCTCATGTCCTGGGATGAGGAACGGAATGCATGTTGCTACCTTTTTAGCATTCTCTCAAAAAGTAGGTTGTCATCAACCAACATCATAAGGGGGAAGGAATGAATCATAATACGCACTCTTTTGCCAAGAACAAAATAGTTATCTTGTGTCTCAGAGTGCAAATGCATGAAAACCAAATTTACATTATCTCCGAATGCTAAATCTGTTGATTGTCCCAATGCAGGATTGCCTGCCAATCAATATGAGAGATTTTTTCGGGTTCCGGTAAGCCGAGTGTCATAATATAATTGCTAGATCCCACATCGCCCAAGAGTGAGGATCCTATAAGCCTTATACGTATTTTCCCATCTTTACCTAGCACGAGGCCTTTTGGGAACTCATTGGCTTTGGGTTCCATTGAACTCCGAAGTTAAGCAAGTTCGCGCGAAAGCAATCCCATGATGGGTGACCCATTAGGAAGTTCTCGTGTGAGTTCCCAGAAACAAAACCGTGAGAGCGTGGTCGGGGCCCAAAGCGGATAATATCATGTTACGGCAGAGTTGAGCCCGAGATTTGGTGGGGGCCTGGGCCGAGATGTAACAATTTGGTCTCATAGCCAATCCCTGGTTGGAAGTGTGCCGACGAAGACGTCGAGCCCCTAAGGAGGGTGAATTGTTTGATCCCACATTGCCCAAGGGTGAGGATCCTGTAAGCCTTATATGTATTTTTCCATTTCTACCTAGTATGAGGCCTTTTGGGAGCTCATTGGCTTCGGGTTCCATCAGAACTCTGAAGTTAAACGAGTTCGCACGAGAACAATCCCATGATGGGTGACCTACTGAGAAGTTCTCGTGTGAGTTCCCAAAAACAAAACCGTGAGGGTGAGGTCGGGGCCCAAAGCAAACAATATTGTGCTAAGGCGGAGTCGAGCCCGGGATGTGATGAGGGACTGGGTCAGGATGTGACAATAAGTAGTTGGATACTTAAAAAAAAAAAAATTCAATCACTTGTATTATGACACTGTGATATTTCTAGTACATTGAAAAATCTCTCCATCAATAACTTAAATCTGCAGCCACAACCTTTCATCAGGGCCAGCCTAGGCCCAGTGCAGGTAGGGTGACCTTTCGGGGCCCAAAAAATTAGGTGCACCAAAATTATTAGTGTGGCATATATATATGCGTTTTCATAAAAGTATAAATTTATAAAATTTGGTTTAATGACAAAGAAATTTAACTAGAACCGGTGATTTTGTTCTTTGAAATTAATGAGGAGGTCTTGGGTTCAAAACACCATGTGTGCTTATTTAAATTCCAATTTTTAGAAATTTCTTTTCATAACAGTATACAATTATAAGTTTATAAAATTTGGCTAAATGATTAGAAGTTTAATTAGAAGCCATGGTTTTTTGTATTTAAAATTAACGAGAGGTCCTTAGTTCGAAATGCTATGTGCATGTTTATTTTTTCAATTTTTACGAATTTTTGTTTGGTTGTTAATTTATTTTTAATTACTAGCTAGTAATTATGTGGATTGCTATTTTTAAACATTCTTTCCAATTCAAGTCTAATCTTTAACAAAGGGTAATGTGTAGACTAAATTTTTAAACCAAATTTGCAAATCATACGACGTGTCATCAAAAGGTTTAATTTGGTGCCCATTCATTAATTATACATATCCTTAATATAATTATTTTTTTAGTCTTATATTGACGAGGTTAGTAAATAAGAAAAAAACAAAATACACATCACGATTTATACAAAAACATTTTAAAAGTTCATATGGAAGACAAAACTCATAATCTATATACTTGTAAGCCTGAAGTTTTTTTGGTTTCCTTCTCTCGATACAAAATAAATTAGTTTTTCCGTGTTTCTAAATTATTGAGTTTGAAGTATTTTTCTAAATATAATTTTATCGATGTCTTACGTGTAAAAATGAATAATTTTTTTATATGAAGTGAGGTGACATTTTTTAGTGTCGACCCGAGCCTCAAAAATCTCTGGACCAGCCCTACCTTTCATTGTCCAGCACCAAAAACCCTTCTCCTTTTCTTTTTTATTTCTTTTTTGGGCTTACCAATATCTAATAAACTTGAGTCTTGGACGTACAGAAAGAGCAAAGAATCGTCCAAAAAAGAGAAAACAAATAAATAAGATGACATTGTCTAATAAGCTTTTATATTTCAGAAATTTTTATTATTAGGGCAAACATATAATGATCAAGATTAACGACTAAAAATCTCAGAATATAAAGTACCGTGAAGTATAATAGAATTTATCAGATAAGACATGGAATAACACAAGCTATCCTTTTTGCCCAAAAATTTACCCGCCAAAAGCCCCGGAGTATAAGATACGTGTAGCATAATAGAATTTTCGAATAAGATGTTCAACCGTACACAAGCTACCCAGGTACTAGTTGTCGAATGTCGATTCCGACCTTCCCATTTCAAAGTTCTTTACCAAATGAATTCAAATTGTATAGCTCTAAGAACATGAAATAGGATGCAAGCTCACTGCCAAACTCGGCTATAAAAACAGGCAGAATAATGTGGCGTAGAAAGAAATAAATCAGGGACAAATTCTGGAAAATGATTTTCTTTTGAGCCAGTCCATGAATCCAGCTGATTACTTACAGAGCAAGCAACAAATATGTATTTGTAATTGACAGAAAATTAAAAATATCGGGATTGATCGATTGACAGATAAGTAACTAGAAGGTTATGAATTCACCCCTTCCTAAATATTCACATTTCAAGATCCGCAACCGGGATGGAAATTACCGAAAGAAAAAGAAGAGAGGAAGACTCATAAAAATCATATGGCCGAAGATGTCATAGCACTTACAAATCCAAGTGCAAGAATGTGACGATTACACGGGATAAGAACGCGGCTGCGTGAACACTAACCTGGCACAGGAACTGCCCCTCCGGAACTTAAACAGATGACATTGTGAACTCACTGCCACAATGGGATAGAGGGATATAAGGCAGGCAAGTTGAGTACACACTAAAACAGCATCAACCCTGGCATCAACTCTAAGCATCCATCGAGACAGTACAATAAATCATGAACGAATTTGCTAATCATCAACATTCAATCTAAACTCTACCTTATCCCGCTAAGCCACACTTAACGCTACAGACTTTGCAGACGCAGAACCGATCTCGCACATTATTAAAGTTTTCATCCCGACTTAATAACTTCAAACTAACTTAAGCACCCCTCAAACCGTGCAAGGTCGAGAAAACAAACAAATGATTATCCAACAATCTCATACCTATATATGATCAATCGATTTGAGGACAAAAATAATGCAGGATTAATCGAAACAAACTTCAAAACAATGAGCTATGATATACCAAATCAAATCATAACAAGTTTCCCATCAGGAGAAAAAAAAAAATGAACATAATAGTCTAACAAATTCCAATCCTAAAACTTTGATGATGGTGCAGACGTGTGTCAGTTAAGTAATGTACTTGCATCTTTGCACCCAAGTTCGACTCTCCCTCCGCATGATAATAGTTTAGAATATTGATTTATAAGAAAATAATAGTAAAAACTTTGCTATGGATAATTGGAGGATGTCTTCTCTTTCTAGACTTCGGATCGTCTGTGTACCAAAAAGACCAAAAGAATATGAAAAAAACATTGGCCATATTTTACTTGCATCCAAAATATGGGATCGATGTGAAGTTTTAATAAAAATGCTAACTCTATCAAGAAAATACTATAACAAATTTTTTTTGATGAAAAAATAATAAACCGACTCTAAAACCGTAAGGGCGTTTCCCTTGTATTCTAAGGAGCAATCCAACTAAAAAAATGAGTCTGAATCTTTCTGTAAATGGTACCCTGAAAAAAATCTGACTATCCTTCCGAAATTATCATATATGTCGAATTCAATGATATTTATATAATGTATTAGTTGCAGAACCATAAACATCAAAATTTATATACAAAACAGAGATATAAACCTCTCTGCCCAATGCCAGTTAGCTTTATAGGTTAACTTAAATCACACTCAGAATCCCAAACCGATGAATGATAGAACCCGACAATTGCAATAATACGTCTATCATTGAAATCTGACATGGGAATCCAGAATCACAGGCAGTTGGTATACAGGTGATTACAGAAAATGCTGACTGTTTCTAAAATTGTTACCATCAGTGAGTATGGAGTCGGTTACTGTTGTCATGCTCTCACCAGATCCTCCCCTTCCCTCCAATCTGACGAGCCAACTCAAAATCCTTCTTCACTAAAAGGTCGTACCCAGTGCACAAGGCTCCCGCTTTACGCAGGGTCTGGGAGAGGTGAATGTCGGCTAGCCTTACCCCCATTTATGGAGAGGCTGCTCCCAAGTCTCGAACCCGAGACCTACCGCTCATGGGCGAAGGCACTTGCCATCGCACCAAGTGCGACCTCTTTTAAAATCCTTCTTCACTGAGGATACAAAAATAAATGAAACAGGTTTGTTAACAATTATATTGTACAATACTGGTACAAACCGTCAAAGACTAACTGACACCTGAAGTAAGTATAAGATGAAACAGTTAGCTGAAATGCAGAAGGAGTTGACATGTTTTAGGACAGTCATAAAGTCTAAACAGACGGTTAATCCAAGGACACAGAAAATGTAGTAATGCATCTGAGGACAGCCCTTTTGTGTTCGTCGAAATCCACTACCCACAATTAAAGTTCCACTAGTACCAAAGATTTATCGGATTGGATATAATCTATATATATTTTTTAAAAGAAACAGAATAATCTAAAAGATGCAATTTTTTTCGTGGTTTAGGTGTTATCTTATCTCACTACAAGCATCTCAGTCACAGCTTGTAAATTTACATAGCATTAGGGGGGAAATAACAATTAATTAAGCAGATATTGGATCTCAAGTTTACTTACTAAGAGTGACTCGCTTTGCATGAATTGCACAGAGGTTGGAATCTTCAAACAACTGAATTACATAATCCTCTGCTGCCTGCAAAACAACAAAATACCAATTTGTCTCAAATAATTCATAGTACCTACTACCCACTTCAATTTACTGAAATTTAGAGGATTTCTAAATTTATAGAATCTTCAAACACTTCAATTTGTCTCAAAACTAATTACTTTCCAAATAAAATTTCCCCAAATTCCCCTCCTCACATTCCCGCATTTTCGGTAACCAAACACAGGACAAGAAAAATCCGAAACTAATGAGAAATTGAAGTGCAATAAAGAGCAAGAGTACCGGTTGATTTCCAGGTGAGGCCGGAGAGCTTCCTCCTGCAGCCGAAGACGGAGAAAATTAGGGTTTCTTAAGACGCAAAAATCACAATCCTCAACAAAATACACATACATCCATACATTTTAGAGAGAGAGAGATACCAGTTTGTGCGGGAGTAGATTTCTTGACTTTTCTTCCGGCGGTGTGTTTGATTCTCGCCATTGAAGTTCGAGAGAGAAGGAGGAGGAGGGAGCTTTTCGCTGCTGTGGGAAGCGACGTCGTTCGGTTTTGCTGGTTGTTTCAAACTGTTACAGATTCGGTGAGCCGTCGTGGGTCTCCGACCACTGATTTCAGTTACTTAATTTAAAGTGAAAGTAAAAAACTCCCGCTCAACTTTTATGGTTCGTTTACGTAACCATAATTAAAAGGGGAGTGGTTATATCAATAAATTTTTTGAGTCACGGGGTTATTAATTTATTAATGTTGTAACACGTACATTTATTAATTAAATATTATATTAGAAGTCTAATGAGTGTGTAATTTATCCATCTATATTATAACATGTGAATTAGTAAAATCATGCTGACGGTTGTTCAAAATCTTTTAGTCTCACTTGAGACTTATGTGAATTTACAGACCGAATTACTAACATTTGATTAACATTAGCTGATTTCTTTTTCCAAAGTACCAAGGCCTCGTTTGGTGACAATTATTTAATTGAAATGGACAATTCACTAGATTCATTATGTATTGACTGAAAGAATAATTGTATTAGTTGAAGGTAAAAGTAAATTAGCCAGTAAGTAAACGCATCCCTCCAATAAAGATTGAAAATAATAAGCTTAGTTCATGACTATCCATCTTATGATCAACACACATATACACCCCAAAGGCCCTAAAGAGAGAATTTATATAGTAAGTCCAAAGAAAACTAATTTTGTTTGGATTTGAATTTAAGCAGTAAAAAGTAAAAAACAAGAGGGCTACTTATGGAAAACTATTTTATCCAACTCATGACAGTGAATTATCTTCATATAAAATGTAGCCTCCAAAACTTCTTGTATCACACTAACAGGAGAATAGCTAAGAGTATGGCTCTGAAGAATCCTTGATTGCTTGCTGTCGAAGGAACGCGCTTTAAGATACCTCTCTAGGGCTGCGATGGTCTGGGGGATGCCGGAGGCTTGAAATCCGGATACTGCAACCATTAAAAAACATGAAAGAAAGCAAGATTTGGTAAGTTCTTGCACAAACTAATTAATCGTGAGGGTGATGATATATAGACATTATACACACACAAAATTCGAGCAGAAAGTAAAGTGAGGATTTACATAAGGGAATGGGGAAAGTGGTTTCGAAATCCTGGGAAGTGATTCTGCTTTAACTTCTGGTTTTGGTACTGAATTTGGTTCCGGTGTGGCTTCTGCAGCTGCTTCTACAGTTGGTTCTGCAGGTGCAGGAAGAACCTTGCTAACAGTTACTGGCAGAAAAGCTGTCCCGATTTGCTGAAATTCAAGGCGGTCGAGGTTAAAATAACTAGTCTGATGTAGCGATGTGGGAATCCGTTCAAAATGCTTTAACACATTTGTAGTCTTATACCTTTATGTCATCGACGAGGTCCTTTGGGGCAACCTTCGTCGTCAAGAACTTATCAACTTGTTGTAGAGTTTCTTTTCGATCCTGTCATAAAAAGCTACTTAGGTTACGTGAATGAAGTTAAATGCTAATCCACGGGTTGAGAATGGAGCAAGTTTTCAAGGCCACGAAGATTAAGAATGTTTATGATGAGTAGACCTCCATATTTATGACGAGTTAGACATGTTTCACAGGAATAACTAAGGGGAAAAATGCCATAATATAACCGTACGCTATTAACTTTTGGCCACTGCGCATTATTTAAGAGACAAACGATATTAGCCCTGATAAACATTCCATCAAAATAACTACTTTGAAGCATACAAAACAATGAGAGACTCACCTCGGCAAAAAGGAGTTTCGTGCTCACAAACTGAACTAGTGCAGCCGAGCCTAAAAGCTGGAGGATTGTTTCTACCTGAAAATATAGAGTGCAACAGTCAGTTCGAAATATCCTCAAGAAGGATACATATTACACCAAAAGGAAAACAAACAAAAAAAATCACAATGCAACGGACTTTACCTCAGTATAAGCCAATAAACCCAATCCGGTTGCTGCAGCAACCCCAAGGGAAAGAGACAAGGCACCCGATCCCTCCTGTACATAAATACCACATAGCTCTTTAAGAACCGTCCTAAAATCAAAATTCTTCGAAGAGAATCAATCACCGAAAACCGATAATTAACAGATTTCCACCGTAGTACACACCAACAGCTTTCTTGTTCCATCTTGAAGAATTATGAATTATGGTAGCGAGATGTACTGAACTTTTCGTCTATGACTTCCACCCATATTCACTAACCTTTCCATTCATCCATCTAAGCATTTCTACTAAACTTTGTAGGCTATCCAACGTCTTATATTTGTGTTCAATACATAAACAACAATATAACATCCCTCTAGAAATGTACGAACCAAATAGCACTCTATCGTTCAACAAGAAAATAGTTTTTCACATGTGAATAATAATCAACAAAGGAAAGTGAAGAAAATTACTCCAACTCCACCGCTAAGAGCATCTGCTAAATTTCCAAAATCAAGACTCAGTGCTTTTGGTGGTGGTGTCCAAGGAAGACCGCTGTTCTGCAAAATGATAATCCACGTCAAGTATTAAAGATCGGCAAGACTTTTATGGAAACAAAGACTAGCCGTGGAAGGAGAAATGGGACTAACCACCCATCCTCGTGGTCCTTCCGCACCATCTTTAATAGCATAAGCAGCTTTGAACCCATTTACAGCGACTAATTCTGCAGCCAGCTCAGAGTTCCCATCAAATCTGGCTTTCATCAGAAAGTTTGCAGGATTAGCTTACATATTGGCTTTTGGAATAACACAAATCCAGTCCCATATTACCAGGTTTGTCACAAAATCACAAGCATTGTGAAAAATGAATGTCAAGGAAAGGACATTAAATCGGAATCCACCTTACGGTAAACTAAAAATGGAAATGGCAAAAAGCCTGTTTTCCTGTCTCATTTATCTTCTATATGGAGGTACTCAATTAAGCTTGCTTCCGCCCCTTTCACAGCACTGATTACAAGCATTGTCTTCTATATTTTTGAACTAACATATCACAATTTGTATGAAATTATATGAAAACCAACGTCTTTTAAGTATTAACTGAGTTCTATTGTGTGGATTCTCTACTCCATTGTTTCTTCTCCAAACTAAATGGTAATGTGAATTGAAATTTTCTTCCGCCGTCGAAATAGTGATCCCTACATAAACCAATTGCACAATGTACACACTCTAAGGTGATCTCAATTCAATGCACTTGATAGCAGCTCGTGATTATCAACAACTGCTTCGAAATAAGCTCAGAAATTGACGACTCATTATTCATAAAACAATGAGGAAACGGAAACTAAAGAATTGGGTTAACAGTTTACTTATCTAGGATGAACAATGTGGTATTTTCTGGCTCCTTGAACTTCAAAGAAAGCTTCTTCAAGAACCCCGGCTTATCTTCACTTTTGTAAACAATGGACACGGCCTTCTTCCCCAAACCCTTGACATCGGGAGTACCAACCTGCCTAAACTCCGCGGGAGGTCTTATATCAAGCAACTGAGCATTGGCATCCTCACCCAATTTTGCATAAGCACTTCTTGCAGAGTCAACACCAAACGGCTTAGGAGGCTTCAGAACCTGAGACAGAACCAATGGAACCGCCAAAACCGCAAAACCGCCAGCTATAACTGCAGGATTATCAGTCACAAAACTGATAACATTGTCAAGAACCCCACCTACTTCCAAGTCTCCACCTCCACCACTCACTGACTGCCCCAATGCTTCCTCATATGTCAAAGCCTTGGCAAACCCGGCATTGAAAACCGAAGATAAGAGCGGCAAACCGCCATGGAAACTCCTAGATGAAGACTCTTGTGAAGCTCTCAAACTTGTGGGATTTGAGAATTTGGGAACGGAAATGGAGGGCAGTGATGGGATTTTTTTTCTGTCACCAAGAAGTGATCTTATGGGGGTCAAGCTTGCTGCATGGAGGGCCTCCATGGCATAATTCTAGAGGGAGATTCTAGTGAGAGAAACAGAGAAAAAGACTCTTTTGGGGCTCTCAGAATATTGATGGAAAATCCTGAGCCACAATGAGAGATTGAAGTCTTTTGTGCAGGATTTTTTTGTTTCTTCTAAGGATGATGCAGGGCTTTACAAGCCTTAGCTTCAGTGGGTGCAATTTCGCCGGTGCCTTTTGGGTGCAGGGTGGCGCTGACGTGTCATGCAAGATGAGAGGTTGCCCATTGAGGGATAGACCCGTGGCGAGTATAGATTGCGAGGTTGTTGATCACTTTATTTTGTTTGATTGCTGGGATGATGACTTTGTGTTGCAATTAATGTGTGGCTGAGAAAAGAGTCGCTAGAAGTACTGAGAAACTTTGCGGGTGCAGTACAGGCTACACTCCACGGTGGCTGTTGGAGGATTTCCGAACAACTTTCAAACAACTTATAGTGGCATTGAAAAAATTAAAGTATTTATTGATTTGCTCTTCAAATTTGTATAGAATTGCTAATTTTTTTCTTGAACTGTAATTTTAGCCGATTACCCATAAATTTTTGAAATTGGCTAATTTCTCCCATTAAACTTTAACTTTAACCGACTATCCCGTAAATTTTTTTAAATAACTAATTTCTCCCCTAGCATTAGATTTTAAAAAATTTCATCTATTTTTCATTCATTCATCCATCTAATTTTTCATTCTTTTTGCCCCATACAGTTGTGTTGACCCTAAAAACTATCAAGCCTACGTGGCGCGCAGGCCGAGTAATCTATAAGCTAACTACGTCCTTCGGTGAATGCGGGGCGTGCCAACTCGTCGGCTGAGCTCGGCCGAGGAGTAAATTTGTTGATGTTGGGTGCGCAGTTGACTTCTGCATCTTGCGATTGCGGCCGAGAAAGGAACACGTCTCGGCCTCTTGGGCTCTCGAACCTGAAGACAAGGTTACTATTCTTACGAAGTTCAATATCAAATTCAGCTTTCAATGTGCCGAATGTAATAACTTGTAACACCTCACTTCGCCGAGAAGGCTGATGAGATGACCTCGACCAATAAGGATTCAGAAATCCTTCTCGACCGAGACTTGGATAGGTAATCAACCGTCCTCGCCGCAGTGCTGTTGATGCCAACGGAAGATGCTGCGAGATCAGCTGATTCTACGGTGACAGAGTTATCTATGCGACTTAAGATATCACCGGTTGCTTTCACAGTGCTGTTGATGCCAACGGAAGATGTGTCAGCGAAAAGAGAAAATAAAAAATCTCAAAGTTGTTGAGAGAGTTTGCGCATGGCAGTTGTGTGTTGAATTGGAGGTCCCTTTTAACATTCCACAACCTCATGTATTTATAGGGTCGTGCTCACGTAATTCACGTTTCACGCATTCTGGCGCGCACACGATTTTTGTGCAAGTCAATCGTAACCCAAATTTTTTCGTGACCTTCTTGCTAGAACCGTGCAACCATGCACCAATGGAATTGCATCGCCTTAACCTTGACCCCACACGTTGCATGCAATTCCATCCTCTCTCATCTTTATCTACTTGACACAAATTCAATTTGCAATTGTAGTTTTGATCAAATAGAAACACACAAGGAATATTCTTTATCTATCCCATCTGATCACCCCAACATTCCTTATCTTTTGGTACTCATCAGATACCATCATTACCGAGGTAATTTGCACGCATATTCGGTTTCGAGCAAATTTGGCCCTTATCCTTTTTCACCATCTTTATCTCCATAAGTGCATGGAAGATAATCTTTTAACCCACCACGTTGGCTCTCAAACCAGTCGCATAGCAATTTGAACTGACATTGATCTCCTTTGCTTCCAAAAATATACTTAAGATAATGACTACGAAAATCCAATAGTAATATCTAGAAAAATATGAAATCCAACGGTTTAGAACCCATTCATTCAACAATCTTGATTGTTCGGGCCGATAGTGTAAAATCGGGTCCAAACATTACCCCCCAGTTTCCTTGAGCTTCGGTTCGTAAGCCGAATGGTTAAGGAAACTGATTTGCTCCTCGGAGTCGCCGACTTCAAGCACCTTAATAGACCACCTCGACCATCCCATAATTGGTGGATGACTTGGTTGGGCCACCGAGAAAACTAGGCCGAGAGAAAAGACCATACTCGGCAACAATACACCTCGCCGAGCTCGGTATGTATGGTTATATAATTTTGTAAAGCAGGCCGAGGGGAATTGGGTGTATAACTATTCGGCCAGAATTTTTTTTTTTTTTTTTTTTCTGAATGGAAATAAAAGTAGCCGAACCATAGTCAGGAGGAGGCCAACGATGCTTTAGTCCAAGTCGAGATCTTGTAATAACAAAATTTTAAAATTGATTTTGCTCTAGGCCGAATAAAGAATCATCTCCAAATACTTTTGACTCGGCGAAATATTTTTTATCATCGGCTGCCGAATGTATTGAACAATTACTATGCCCCCCAGGCATAATAATTTCGGCTTTTAATTCAAACATCTTAGCCGAACGAGATTTCTCCATATCGGCTTTATTGCCAATAATCATATCAATTGTCGTGGTTTCTTGGGCTAAGCCAATGTTGCGGCCTTGTTCGTCATTGGAGCACTCATCTGACGAATCATTTTCTAAGTCAATTTGTGGCTCAGAAATTTGAACATTTTCTTCTAGGCCTACCACACTTTCAGTCTCGACCAAAAAAATAGGTGGCCTTTGTTCTTCAGCCAAATTAACAATTTTCTTAGGCCGAATATTGGTTGTGGCCGGAGCCGAAATTTGCCCCCCGGCCTTTTGCCTTTTAGAAATTCTTCCCAAACTCTCGAGGAGTTGTTTTTGCTTCTTTAATAGGAGATGACACTCTTCCCATGAAGCCTGATCGAGATAGATCATGTGAACTTCGTAGTTTTAGCACTGGGTCCCACTGGGCGTGCCAAAATGTTGACCCTAAAAACTACCAAGCCTACGTGGCACGCAGGCCGAGTAATCTATAAGCTAACTACGTCTTTAGGTGAATGCGGGGCGTGCCAACTCGTCGGGCGAGCTCGACCGATGAGTAAATTTGTTGATGTTGGGTGCGCGGTTGACTTCTGCGTCTTGCGATTGCGGCCGAGAAAGGAACACGTCTCGGCCTCTTGGGCTCTCGAACCTGAAGACAAGGTTACTATTCTTACGAAGTTCAATATCAAATTCGGCTTTCAATGTGCCGAATGTAATAACTTGTAACACCTCACTTCGCCAAGAAGGTTGATGAGATGACCTCGACCAATAAGGATTCATAAATCCTTCTCGACCGAGACTTGGATAGGTAATCAACCGTCCTCGCCACAGTGCTGTTGATGCCAACGGAAGATGCTGCGAGATCGGCTGATTCTACGGTGACAGAGCTATCTATGCCGACTTAAGATATCACCGGTTGCTTTCACAGTATTGTTAATGCCAACGGAAGATGTGTCAGCGAAAAGAGAAAATAAAAAATCTCAAAGTTGTTGAGAGAGTTTGCGTAGGGCAGTTGTGTGTTGAATTGGAGGTCCCTTTTAACATTCCACAGCCTCATGTATTTATAAGGTCGTGCTCACGTAATTCACGTTTCACGCATTCTGGCGCGCACACGATTTTTGTGCAAGTCAATCGTGACCCAAATTTTTTCGTAACCTTCTTGCTAGAACCGTGCAACCATGCACCAATGGAATTGCATCGCCTTAACCTTGACCCCACACGTTGCATGCAATTCCATCCTTTCTCATCTTTATCTACTTGACACAAATTCAATTTGCAATTGTAGTTTTGATCAAATAGAAACACACAAGGAATATTCTTTATCTATCCCATCTGATCACCCCACCATTCCTTATCTTTTGGTACTCATCAGATACCATCATTACTGAGGTAATTTGCACGCATATTCGGTTTCGAAAAAATTTGGCCCTTATCCTTTTTCACCATCTTTATCTCCATAAGTGCATGGAAGATAATCTTTTAACCCACCACGTTGGCTCTCAAACCAATTGCATAGCAATTTGAACTGACATTGATCTCCTTACGAAAATCCAATAGTAATATCTAGAAAAATATGAAATCCAACGGTTTAGAACCCATTCATTCAACGACCTTGATTGTTCGGGCCGATAGTGTAAAATCGGGTCCAAACAAGTTGTCATGTTGCTTGTTCGACCAAAATGGATGGAAAATTAGCTAAAATATTTTAAAATCTAGCATTAGGGGGAGAATTGCCTATTTATAAAAGTTTAGGGAGATAATCGGCTAAAATTAAATCTCAAGAGAAAAATTGGGTAATTATAAAAGTTTAGGAAGATAGTTGGCTAAAATTAAAGTTCATGGAAGAAATTAACACCTCTATATAAGTTTGGAGAGCAAATCGACAAATAAGCTAAAATTAAAACACATGACAAGTTTGGTAATCGGTTTTAACTTCCGACACTCTAAATTAAAAGTGAAAATCACTATCCTTTTGATCTATAAACTTAATCATCCAACCAACCAATGGCGCCCAAAAAGAAAGGAAAAAACCAAGCTCGATCTATTAGATGTAGCTTCTAAAATATTCGGGCAGTTTGGTTTGGTTCACGGAATGAACATTTTTTTCTTTTTCTTTCAAATAACGCCACCGCGTTCCCTCCCCGTCTCGGCATCCATATCAAAAAAAGTTCCCATGACCTTCGAAGAACGAAACATAAATGATGGATCGAATTCTTGAAATGTGTTATATTTCTTCAAATTATTGTCACCCCTAACAAAAACTTTGTTAGAAGATCAAATGAGGACTGGTTTACAGAAGATCGAAAAAGAAATCCAGACCTTGCCCAATTTCCCATATCGAGATGCCGCATCCCCAGTAGCGACCTACCTCTAGCCTCACGGAAATTGACATTGGTGACGGATAGAACACGGCGTGGTAGTTATTTTCATCATCGGAGTAATAGAACAAATGTTCTGCACTGTTCTTTTCCCATTGCAACTGGGGCTTGTGCTTCTCCAACAAGGACAGGTAATCCCTTCCAGTGATAGCACCACCACCCGGACCTGCATTTTCGATAACATTAAAGCACTCTCCCTAAGACGAGGAACTGCTACAGAATTCATTCACGTTCAAGATATATAAAAAAACTCCAAGAGATGTCCTCGTAAATGAATTAACAACGATTTGGAAAGTCGGAGACAATAACAGACAGATACTTAGATAAACTACTCAAATGTACGATGTTAAGCTGATCAATCCAGACCGCGTAAAGTTGTCATACAAGAATTGGTAAGTTTATTTATTCACCTAAGTTCACTCCCCATGGGTTATAACGAACAAGAAATCATAAATCAGATAGAGATTTTCCAATGGCAATCGACAGCAAAAATTGTACAAAGAGGAAGAACCAGAAAAATACCTCCTTTGAGGAGGAAATCATTGCCGTAGAAATTGATGCCAAGAAATATTCTGCGAGCTCGAGCACAATCTTCATCCGTACCAAGGAGCAGCCAGAGGGTGGAATGAATCCACTTCAAAGGTGCATTGGGACCTGGATTATGGGGCCCAGAGAAATCATACGTCATAAGTGAGAACCCATCCACAGCATCATCCAAGCTCCGAAGATCTTTTGGTCCAAAATCATGCGGTTGGAGCTTCTCTGATTGTGGTGGACCTATAACATAGACTAATTGCAACCGTTGCTTATCATTCTTCTCTAAGCTCACACCATGTAGTGCATCTCCAAGCTCTTTAATAAACTGCAATGCCTGCGCAGAACAACAAAGATCCACAGATGTTATATAATTTGAGGAGAAAATATATGGTATCACTTTCTAGAAAACAGCACCAACGAATAGCCACAAACTAAGTTCAATAGGAAACATCTACACCTCCGAACAATAATGACTTTCAGCAAACTTGGATTTAGGTATGAAAAAGGCAAGTGCTTGCTGTATTTGGTAACAAAGTGACTCCGACTCAAAGATTTCATAAGCAAGCTAATACAATTTTGTATATCCTTCTTCTTTGTATTGAGGCAAATATAATAAACAGTTGCTTCTCAAAATAGCAAATGAAGTTCGAATTTGGAATATTGCAGTTACAGTTGTTCGAAGTCCTGACACTTCAAAATAGGTGAAACTTATATACTTAACTTGTGAAAAGTAGAAAAGTATTTTGAACAGACAACAAACACAAATTTTCCCAAATTCCTCATGAAAAATTAGTATTATCATCATTTGCCTAGTTGGATCATGAAAAATTAGCACATTACCATATTCCGCATGCTTGGATCATGCAAAATTCTGAACGCTGCCCACCTTGACCAAGATTCCAGTACAATACCATCATATCCCATCTCCCTGATCAAAGAAAAAGCCCCCCCACAAAATTAGTACTTTATCTGCATTCGATTTAAAGAAAAATGACCAAAGTTTTGGTACAGACTGCATAAATCATTAAATATCTTATTAAAACAAACAAACAGACAAACAAACAAAAAGTAGTCAAGATCGGAGGCCTACTTGCACTCGTTCACTAGAAGATTAATAGCTTTACTCCTCTGCTTCTTCTTTGTAAGGAGCTCTGCTGGAAATGCTTCCAGAACGACTCTAGGCAATACCTACATTATAGAGGTGTGCTACAGGTGAGACTACTATCAATCCAGATCGAAAGTGTGCCTCAACTGCATATTAAAGCACAGGAAATTTATCTACAACTTATCAAAAAGAATTTAAATTGTTTCTAAGTTGACAAACTGTTGAAAAGACCTCTCATATTTTATTCCATGACTTCCCAGATTCGATTGTGAACATTTGATGTCACAGCTGTTCAATATTAATCAAATACGAAAAGTAGTGAGAAGGGGGTTAAAGAGTTCTTCTTCGTACCCTAGCATCGCCTGCAATCCTAATCTCTGAGATCCATCCTGTATCAGCATTATGCCTACCTTCCAGAATTAAGCTATTGCCTTGGCTGTTGACAAAATGAGTGAAATACTGAAAACTTATCCACAAATAAAATAGCAACACAAATCTTAATTATCGCTTAATCTTCATAAATCTACAACTTACTAAATCTTAATAGATATTCCTACTACTTCTTGAGGTTGACGGTCATAAATGAGAGCATCAATTACCATCCCCCCAACACCCCACAACGAAAAAGTAATCATAACGGTAAGTTTGATTCGGCTCCAAATTTATTTAGCAGACAGTTCTAATCTAGAGTTTTGAAAAAAGACACGTCAATGGTCACGTCTATAAGCAAATAACTAAGCAGAGTTTTGACAGTTACCATCTGCTTATTTGGGCAGTGATAACTCTTTAAAAACATGGTGCAAAACAGAACCCCAACTACTCATATCACTTTGTCCAACAACGCAAACAGGGAGCATACCTCTTTAAGTCGTACCAAATTGGAGATAAATGAGTAAACTTGGAGTTGAACCTTTTTGCCATATCATAGCCCTTGGAATTCCTGTATAATTTGAAATATGAGGAGTTCACAAAAATTTCAAGCTAAGTAATGCAAATACGTCTAAATATGATTATATGAGCAACCAAGCTAAATAAATTACTAACCAAATACTTGGTTATTATACAACAACAAACTTTAAAACGAAAAACCATTACATAACCATATCAGATCCACCAAGCTATGTTAAACCAAAAGACCAGCACTTTGTACCGAAGACTGACTAATGGACCGGTTCAGACTCCGCTACATTCTTTACCATAATTCCGTTACCAAATGAATCCCCCAAATTTTACATATACTTGGATGCCAAGTCCTTTTTTTTTTTTTTCTTCTCATATTCGAAACATTAACTAAAATTCTCGTTGTATTTCGTTCAAATCCAAACAGTGTATTAGAAACCAATACAATCCCATAATTTATTTATAGCCAAACAGATCGTAAGACATGACATACCATGGAGTAATGTAGGCCAATGCAGGATATTCAAAGTGCCTCCTACTCGTATTTTCGGAAACCTTTCCATTTTCCTGAATTTTTTCAAAACACTTCATCAATAAAAACACAGTAAGATCATAAAATTGGTATAAACACTAAAGTTTCTTATCATTTCGTGCATTTCGCTATAACTTCCATTTGTCTTGATTTTCCCGCATTTTCCCGGCAACCAAACAGGCCAAATGCAGAACACAATAAATAATCTGGTTAAAGAATCAGTATGGAGGGTACTTGCAGTGAGGATCTCTTGGTAATTCACATCACGCTTCACGATTCCTCGCTCGTGGACGGGGTAGGAATCCGCCAGGTTCGCCGTCGGAGCATATTTGATGCGGTACGCGAGCACGCCGGTCGATACAGCGACGCAGAAGAAGAGAAATGCGGTGATTGTGTGCTGCCGGATTGCGCCGCAGAACTGGTCCGGCGGTTCGACTCGATCGTAGCCGCGTTTCGCACTCGGGGCGACTCGGCGCTCTCTTTTCTTGGCCATTTTTATGTCGAAAGGCGGGGAATGTTTAACGGACTTTTACAGACACACGAGAAAGATTGACGTTAAATGACATGTCGTTGTTTACGCGGTCGTCTAGGTACAAGAAAACGTCATGTCGTTGGAGTTTAATTCCTCCCCATTAGTGACTTGTATTTCAAGTTTGAGTTAATTGAAAATTTGATCCCTTCAATAGATTAGTCACTTAGTTCTACGGTCCGTAGTATTTCTCTTCACTTATAAGTGAGTGATCTTAGGTTCGAATCTCATAGATGGCGAATTCAATACCAAATTAGATTGTCTATTGTGTGGTTTAATCGAACTCTCCCCCTTAATGTAAAATATAAAAAATAAAAAGTTGGATTCAGTTTGGTACTCAAACTTCTTTTCATCCCAAGTTGATAACTGGTCTTGTAAAATGTGTGAGGATGATAGTGATGTAAGTTATTAAATTAGGCGATATTGGTGGTACGAAAATTAATTACAGGCATTAAATTTAAGGAAAACTAATGAAAATGACTTGAAAACTTTGAGTTTTAACAAAAATGACAAAATAAAGGGTAAAGTGAATAGTACCAGGATTGACTTTTTAGTGAAAAAATGTGGTTTTTCGTTAAAGTGAACAGTAGTGAGTACTTTTCTTTAAAGTTCCCTTAAATTTAAGAAAATGCTATCCACACCCTTATCCATGTTAAAACATTCGAGCACCTTCTCTATGTACCTTCTTTGTGACAAACCTAACAATCCTCTATCTTTGTCACGACTGATCTTAATACCAAGCACACACTTAGCTTCTGTCATGTCAAACATTATGACATGCCATGATCTCGATATCCTCCAAAGATCAAGATAGACACGTGTTGGCCAACACCCAAAAATGACGAAGCCGTTTTAACATGTGTGCAAGTTATGAGGAAAGAACTAATGTAAATAAAATAAGTGAATTTAAATATAATGAAAATGTGCAAATGCAGGAACGTGTTTAAAGCATACAACTAATTAAGAAAAGTGTGAAAGGAATATTACGAAATAAATGAGATTACAAAGAAAAGAGAAAATGGGTCCTACACCGAGAGGACTCGAAGATATCGATGCGGGAATGCCTTGACACCAGAATTGTACGCCTCGATTCTAAATCCTAAAGGGGGACGCAAAACAAAAAGATGAGTGGACCAAAGTTTATTATTATAATAAAACATAATTATTTAAAATAATAAGATAATATTACAATATCTAAAATAGTAATTTTCAAAGGTATCTTTTGGATTCATAGTTTCGTAACGTCTCCGTCCACCTACGTGTTCATAAAGTCGAGCACTACAAGGATATACTAATAGAATTAGTCATACGTCGCACGATAAGATGGTCAACGAAAATGAACATCCTCGCCTCTAAAGGTATTTTTGTAAATTCACACTTTTAAAATTATAAAAACTATAAAATTAGGGACAGGTTATTACATATTACAAAATGTTTTGACAAAAACAACTTGTTCTCACATATCATTGCTAAATTACTCTCAGCCAGAAGTATGTCATCTACATAAAGCATGAGGATAACAAAGTTTCTTCCTCTGACTTTAAGATATATACACTCATCCAGCGAATTTTTCGTAAAACCTTAAGACTGTATCACTTGATCGACTTCAAAATGCCATTGCCTTGAAGCTTGTTTCAAACTATAAATTGATTTTTTTTCAATTTATAGACCAACTTTCCTTTCCTTCTTGCACAAAACACTCAAGTTGATTCATGTAAATTCTCCAACCAAATAACCACTAAAAACGCAACCTTCACATCCATTTGATGCAAAAGCAAATTAAAGTGAGCAACAAGTGCCATAATGACTCTAAAAGAATCACTCATTGAGACAAGTGAGAATGTCTCATTGTAGTCTTTTCCTTCCTTTTGAGTAAAGCCATTTGCAACCAAACGAGCTTTATATCTCTCAATCTCACCATCTGCCTTTCTTTTAGTTTCACAAACCCACATACAACCAATTGGTTTACATCTTGCAGGCAATTCAACTAGCTCCCACACTCCATTATCACTCATAGATTGCAATTCTAACTTCATTGTCTTCAACCAATCTTCATTATTTGAGTCCATTTGATCATGCATTTGAGTCTATTCCTCGTCAAGGTTCTAAAAGGTGCCAAGCTCTAGTTGGGAGGTGGGTAAGGGCCTAGCACCTAGGCTTCTAGGTGGAAGCCTAGGTGTTTATTTAGTTTTAATTAAATTTATTTATATAACATATAAATATCTACTTATACTTAAAGTAATACATAATTGTATTGGGATAAATCAATTCCAAAATATAGTGACATATATGTTATTTTTATAATAGAACATATTGAAAACATAGGAACAAGCATATAATGAATGTTCATCCAAGTATTCAACCAACCTCTTACAATTTCTAGAAAAAATAAAATGCAAAATGGACATTACTTATTGTTTGTTTAAATGAGAGTCGCGACCTAGGCAGGTGCCTAGATAAGTCTAGGGGCGCCTAGGCAAGTCTATTTACATGTTCTTAATTTTCAAATGAATTGGGGCGGTGGCTAGTTGGCCTAACACCTAGGCGACTTTAGGCGGGGATATTTAGAATAACGTTCTTCCTTGTTACTTGCACTACTGCAAGGAACAGTTTCTATGGTGAGGTTCTTGTTGACAATGACACGATTGTTGTTTTCTTCTGTTGAATCAAAATCATCTTCCAAGAACCTTGCGTTTCTGGTCTCAATGAATCTAGTAGTGTGATTTGGGCAGTAAAACTTGAAACCATTGGTTCTCTCATGTACTCATCATACTTCGTGCCATTTCAATTAAAATTCGATTTCTTCTCTCTGAAACATCATTTTGTTGTGGTGTATCAAGATTGGTGTATTGGGCAACAATACCTTCTTATCTAAAAAACAATGCAAAATGGTCATAAATTCCTACCACTTTCAATGTATCTGCCATAGTATTCTCTCCCTATCAGACATCACCACTTTAATTTTCAAATCCAATTTCTTTTCAACTTTAGCTTTGTAAATCTTGAATGCATAATCATATTAGATAGACCAAGCTATGTTGGACCAAAAGAGCAGCGTTTTGCATCTTCGTTCCAGGTTCGATCTGCATTCAAAGGTATCTCTCTATCTAGATTCATTTTTTCAGTGTTCAAGTTTCGATTTTTATGTGCTGAAATATACAATTCTGATGTCTTTGGGTTCTGTTGGATTGGATTATGTTTTGGATTTTCCTCTGTTGGATTCAATATAAACTAGAACCTTTGATGAATTTATCGGCGTTAATGTCAACACCAATAATTTTAGATGCTCCTCTGGCTCTTGCTCATTCAGCGACCTGATCCAGATTGCAAGCCGCATTTAGTTGAGTAATTTGGGGATTAAGAAACCCCATTTGAGCATGAAAGGAACAATTATATTAAATATTATAAAGCAAAATCATTCAAATTTAATTTAAGTTCATATTCATGTTAATTTAGTAGAAAATATTGGTTAAGCATCGACATATTTTGTATAAGTTAATACCTGGTGAATCGTGTATGTTAAAAAATAATTGGTGAACATGTAGCGCTTACAACTAATCTGAGAATTTGACTTCACATTTCCTTCTTTTTAAAGTGAAATCTGAGGACTTTGTTCTCAATTACAGGGTGATTCAGGGCAGGTGATTCTATGCTAGATTCCGGAGGTGAGGTGCCTCGCTAATATGCAATTTTGGACTGTAAATTTGTAGTGAAAAACAACATTTTCATTTACAGTAACTATTATTAAGTAGTAGATAGTGATCTACAAGGATAATATATATATATATATATATATATATATATATATATATATAGTTACTGAGACAGAGCTGTAGCTCAAAGGTTTGTCATTAATACTTGTAGCTGATATTGTATTTAAGATAATGAGAAACAACAGACGAAACAAGGGTAAGTTAGTCATTTTAATCTTTTGGTTTCGTTTCGTCATGCTCTTACCAAACGCAGAACGGAACAACTCTCCCGTTCTGTCCTGCGCATACCAAACATAACATGGAACCACTATTCCGTTTCGTCCTGTCCCGTCCCGTCCGTATACCAAACGGTACCTTTGGGAGGGGTGATGGGGGATGGGAGAAAGGGGGTGGCTCGGGTGGGACGGATTGGGGCTTTTTTTTTCTTTTTTTTCTCCCCTCTTCTTCTTCTTCTTCTTGTTGCAAGTTTTTGGGGGAGGTCGCTAGGGGTGAGGGATATGGGTATCCCTTTTTTTTTTTTCCCTTCTTCTTCTTCTTCGGCTTTTTTTTTTCTCCCCTCTTCTTCTTCTTAGGTTTCTGGGGAAGTCACCAAGGGGGTGAAGGATATGGGTATCCCTTTTTTCTTTCCCTTCTTCTTCTTCGCTGGGAGTGGGTGAGGGATAAGGATATGGGTTTCAATTTTTTTTTTTTTGAGAAATTCGGGTTTCAAAAAAAA